ACTGCCGAGGGGAGCAGCGGGCACAGCAGGAGAGGTCTGAGTGCCATGTGGGACCCTCACTGGTGACTGGGGATCAAACTGGCGCTGCAGAGGCTGCAGGCAGCTTCACAGCCCAGTGTTCAACTGCTGTGCCACCTGGGGAGGCCCTCTTCTGTCCATTTCTTGACTGGATTGTTTACTTTGTTTTTGTTGATCTGTGCCCAACTCTCTTTCCAGAACGTGACTGTTGTATGGAAACTTTAGTAATCTAGTTCCACGCCTCATTTCCCTTTTCACCCCCCTTTATCTGGCCCACCTTCTCTCAGAACACAAGGGTTCTTTTGGAATCCCTGGCGTCCTATTATCAGGTATTTGGTGATTTTGTTCTGATCACTGGTGGCCTCAGAGATCTTTCCTAGAATCCTTCCAGCACTGCTTTTTCCTGTAGGTCTCTAGGGAATGAGGGGAGGGGCAGGGGGGTGTTGTGATAGAGTGGAAGGCCTCAACGGCGTGGGGGTACCTTGTCTGCCCTGTGCCCCATTTTTGTGGGGATCCCATGCCTCACCTCCAATTTTGTGCCCAGGTTCTCAGTTCCAAAGCCCTCACATCTGGAACGTGGGTGATAGCACAGTTCAGTGTCTGCATATATGGTGCCTTTTGCATGCCAATCCTGTGCCTGGGCACTTGGTTTTTCATTACCCAGTGAGGGTTATTCACCTCAGTGAGGGCTCCCTTGAATCTTCCCTCTGTAGCAGGTGCGGGAACCTGGTCTGCCTCCATCTGCATATGCTTTTTGAGCACAAGCTATTTGTGCACAAGCTTACCAGCTGGCCTTTGTCTATTTGAAGGTCTCTTTGTGAAGTCCCTATCTTCTTCTAATGGCACCGTGTTTTTTATTCCCCAGTGCTGTTTGCTCACCTCCGTGGCGGTTCCTGCACGTGTCCCCACATTACCTGCTCATGGGGTGTATTGATTACAGTAGTTCCTTTCCGCTCACTATCCTGCTTGATCTCTAATTTGTTCTTGTTTTTTTCCTCCTTTCTGTTTGTCGGAGTGTGCCTGCTTTTTGGGTGGAGGAGTGTAGCAGGGTTCTGATCTCATTGAGATTTTATTGGAATTGCATTGAATCTGTAAATTGGTTTTGGTAGGATGATCATTTTTATGATGTTAATTCTTCCAATTCATGAGGAGAGAGAATCTTCCCATTTCTTTGTGTCTTCTATTTCTTTTACCAGTGTTTTGTAGTTTTCCTTGTATGGATCTTTCACCACCTTTGTTAGCTTTATTTCTAGGTATTTAATTTTTGTGGGTACATTGTAAATGGGATGATATTCTTAATTTCTTCCTCTTGAGATTGATTGTTTGCATACAGGAAGACTACTAATTTTTGTATATTGATTTTGTAATTTGGTACTTTACTAAATACATATATTGTTTTAGTTTTTCTGTGGACTTTTAAAGGACTCTCTCTATATAATATCATATTATCTGCATACGATGATAGTTTCACTTCTTTTCCCATTTGGATTCCTTTCATGTCTCTGTCTTGCCTGATTTCCTTTGATATCATCCCATACTTTTTGACTCTTAATTAAATTTCCCCAATCACCCCTTTTTTGCTCTGTTTGGGAAATCTTGTATGGACAAATATTAATGGTGGTTGATTATTTTCTCAGTTGTTGAGTTGACTGATTATCCCATCAAAGTCTCCTTTATTTCTATTATTTTTTTCAAATAAAAAATTATCTCTCCTTCTCTTCATAGTGTACATTTTATTCCTCTTACTAGTGACAATGATTTATTTCATCTTTGTTCAACTGTGTATTATAATATTTTTCACTTGAAGCATTTTTTTAAAAAGTGGAGCTCATGTTGATTTACATTTTCCATCTGTTTACTTGCAGTGATATCATGCTTTTATTGTGTAATATATCAATTTGATTCATGAGCATAGTATTCGTGGTTGCTTTAATTTTTTCTGTGATAATTGCAAATCTGCATACTATCTGCCTCTGCTTCTATTGCTAATGGCCACCTTTGTAATTTTCTGTTAAATGAGAGACATGAGTTGTTGGTAATAGAGACTGAGCTAAGACTATTATTGTGATATGTTATGTAATCTAAAAGAGGTTCAGCTGGGTTTTAAGTTTCCATAGTTTTTGCTATCCCCAAGTTCAAACACATGTAGTGCCCACACATGTGTCCCTGCTTCTTTTTGTGTTTTTATAGGAACTTGTCCTTAGATATCTTCCTTGTTTGGCATATAATACACTGTTATATACTAGAGCTCTATAGCTGTAGTGATGTTGTATCTATGTGGAGTTGAGCCTATGATTTAGGTATAATGTTAGGCATGCATAGGACATGTGTCCCCAAGAGTGACCTTCAAAATTGCATTGTAGCCTTCCCTGTTTCTGAGGTGAATGAGCAAAGTGTGTTGAGCAGTTGTTGGGGAAATGCCCTTATGTCATCTGGGCTAAGGCTCAGGGAAAGACCATTCTCCCAAACTATTTGCCTTTGCTTCAATGAGAATGCTCTGGGTTATTTTACATGGCCAGGAGGGACCCTTTCATCCCTCTTCATCTTGAGGACCTGGTGTGGCTCCTGATCCTAATCCATATGAATGTGGTTCACACCACCAGCCAAGCACCTGCATCCCAAAGACTGCCATCACAGGAGTTTTCACTTTCAATTGCCACACCTTCAACTTGCAGCATTTCAAACCTAGCTTGTGTGAATGGCCAAAAATCATAAAAAATCCCTACAATATAACAAGTTAAGGAGTGATTAAAAGTGATTTTTAATTTAGTTAGTGGTGTTTATAAGTAGTTTGTTTTTAACACAACCAGCAAGTAGTTAATGTATCTTTGCTTTGAAATTGATATTTGCTCTAAGTTTTGAACACATATCACTTCAGCAAAGGATCCAAACAGGCCTTTGCCAAGGAAGCCATAAAGGTGGCGCTCAGGTGCATGAAAGGGTGCTCAGTGTCCCAACTGGTGAGGGCGCTCAGTCTCCCCACTCAAAGCCATGTGAGCTGCCCCATCACTCCCGAGGACTGGCTGTGTCTTCTGCCACGGTCAGCAGCACTGGAGAGGGCTCCTTGGAGGAACTCTAAATTACTCTCCTACAGTAAGATATTTTTAGAGATCAATAGTTAATACAATGATCTTTTCTAACTTTACTAATTATGAATGTCTTACTTTGCCTAATTTGTACATTAATCTTTCACACAGCTGAGTATGTTTAGGAAAAATAGTTGTTGTCCAGTTTGGTATGATCTGATTTTTAGGCTTCCACTTGGGGACCTTGGAAGGATGGGCCTGGATAAGGGGGAATACTGTGGTGACGAAGACAAGTGAAAGCATGTACCATTGGGGAACAGTATATTAAAACACATATTCCTCAGAAATTATGGTAAAAATCATATGATCCAGCAATTCCACTTATGGGTATTTATCCAAAGGAAAAGAAAAATAACTAATTCCAAAATGCATATGCTCACCTATGTTCCTCACACCACCAGACACGGGAACCAACGGAGGTTCCAAAGATGGGTGGGTGGGTAGGGAAGTGGTGTGGTGTGGTGTATGTGTGTGTGTGTGAGTTTGTGTGTGTGTGCATGTCTGTGTATGGGGAGACCCTCACACAATTTTTAAAAAGATGAAATGTCACCATATGTGACACCATGCATGTCCTGGGGAGAGCGAGTCAGAGGAAGAGACAAATGCCCTGTGGGTTCATTGATGTGGAAATCTAAAAGTGAACAAGACACAGAGTAGAGGGATGATGCTACGTGAAATACGTCAGATGGGAAGGGCAGATACCAGATGGGCCAGTAATATGAAGAATCTAGAGATGCCAAACTGAGAGTCAGAGAAAGACCAACTTAAAAACTAACAGTAGAAGCCTGACTACAGAGCTGCGCATCCAAAGGTGGGTACAGGCGGGGGCCGGCCCCTGGGCTGTTGTGGGGGTGTGGGTGATCGGTGGCAGGTGCACCGAGGTGGTCAGACCTGACACTTGACTGGGAGGCTCCTAATGTCCCCACAGTTAAGAGAATAGATGATCACTAATAAAAGGTGGCTACCAGATGAAAGTGGGCGTGGGGTGTGGGTGGCATATGAAGTGAAGCAAGAGGATGAACCCTCACATTTACCTTGTGTGGTATGTGGGGTAACAAGATATGTGGTGAGCAGTTCACATGGAAATCACCATGCTGTACTCTGAAAACCAAAACTACTAATGCATATTAATTATTTCTCAGTGTGAAAACCCAAAATGCTAAAAAAAATGTGTATTCGTATATATATAATAGAGAAATAAATTTTCATTCAGAAATTCCAGGTTATTGAATTATAGCAAGTAGTATTTTAAGAGATATTTCAAAATTTATAAAAACAATGTATACTTTAAAATATACATCATTATATATTTGCAATGGTAGTTTTGGAATATATCTAAAATTTTAAAGACAAAATTTTCAAGATAACATGGCTCCTCTCCCTTATGAACCATACTTTTTGAAAATTGACAAATAGGAAAATTACATAGGAATAAAAATATATTTTATGTATCATATTAATAACCAGGTCTTCACTGATGGTGACATTGGCTGCAAAAGAATATAAAAACAGGTACTGTTCCATTTCAAAGCATACACCATCACTGTTCTGGATTTACATTGGGTACCAGGAATCCTTATATTGTCATATTCTGAAAACCTTCCTAAAAGCTTGATTGACGTCCTTGTTCTGCAGGCTGCAGATGAGGGAGTTGAGCATGGGTGAAATGATGGTGTAGATCACAGAGACTACTTCTTCCTGCTCGGGGGAGTGGTAGGACTTTGGCACAAGGTACTTAATGATTGCAGCTCCATAGAAGAGCAACACCACAGTCATGTGAGAAGAGCAAGTAGCCAAGGTATTCCGGAGAGCCTGGCCTGAACCCATGCCCGGAACAGTGAACAGTATCCTTCCATAGGAGCACAGAATGGCTGAGACAGGAGGAATGAAAAAAAATCACAGCACAAAATAAATCCCCTTTTCGTATTGTGAAGTGTCAGCACAGGCCACTTTGAGGAGCGCTGGGATCACACAGAAGAAATGGTGGATTTCCCTGGAGGTGCAGTAAGTAAGTGTCAGAGTATAGATGACATGTATCAAGGAATTGAGCAGGGCACCCAGCCAGGTCACAAGCACCAGGAACACACAGACCTTGGGGCGCATGAGGATGGGGTAGCACAGAGGCTGGCAGATTGCCACGTAGCAGTCATAAGCCATGACCGCAAGCAGCAGGAACTCTGAGCTAGCAAGTGTGGTGAAGAGGAACATCTGGAAGCTACACCCAACGAAGGAGATGCGGTTGTCCCCAGACAGAAACATCAGGGCCATTTTGGGAACAAATGTGCAGATATAGACGAGATCCATGAGGGACAGCTGGCTGAGCAGAAAGTACATGGGGGTGTGGAGAAGAGGGTCGGCCCAGATGAGGATGATTATTATGGTGTTGCCGAACAGGGCCACCAGGAGATCGAGCAGGGTGAGTGTGAAGAGGACCCAGGGCACTGGGGTGCTGTGGAAGAGATCCAAGAGGATGAAATCACTGCCTGAGGTCTGGTTGCTCAGCCATGCCATGCTCGTGTTTTGAATTTGTAAACTTGGAGAGTTTTTCACAAGCATAATGTTCATTGTCCCTGCAAGATTTTCACAAATAAAGGCATGTGCCACTTTTAATATTGGAAGTCTATTTTAGTCCCTGTGCTTCACCCTTCAGCTTTATTAGTTAAGAAATATATTTACCTTTCACTGGACTTTACTAAGGTATCTTAAGTTACCATCTAGAATTCTTGCCACACTGAGAAAAGGCAATATTGGCTAGCTTTAAAATGTTATTTTGAAACATTTTTGTCATTAATTTTTTTAGAAATTGCATTCCTCAAGTAATTACTATTAAGTTATGCTTTAAGTAGCATACATAAATAAATTCATTAATTAATGAACACCTGCATCATTATTAGGCACTTCAATAATGTGGAGTATCAGGGCCTTCCTGGTGGTGCAGGGGGTTAAGACACAAACTATGAAGCTTTCCACTGCCACTGCAGCATGATTTCAATCCTGGGCCAGGGAGCTACCCACATGGTGCAGCAGACCTTTCCAGACACCCCCGCTGCTCCCTTCAGCAGTGTATTTCAGTCAATCTGCCTGTTCTGTTCCCCACTCTGTCTCTGGTGAATCCTCTCTCCCCCACAACTCTCATCTGTACCCTTGCCGGGGACCAGCCTCTGGCAAAACGTCGTGTCAGGGGTTCCTGAAAGGATGAGACGGCCTAGGCGAAAACGAAAGAACTGAAACTTAAGGGCTGCGGGGAAGGGGATGAGGTAGTGAGGAGACACTAACACTTGGATGAGGTGAAAGTATCTTCTGCCGAGAGACTCAGCAGGGCTTTATTTATTTATTTTTAGTAAGCAGAAAAAAAAATACATTGTCATGTGCAAAGCAGAAACAATTAGTGTATTTTATTCCCATGGACTACTGGCTCCTTCGTGTCCCAGCTAGACAGTAGCCTTCAAGGTTAATAGATAATAACCAGACCTAACACTAAAACTTATTTTTTCAGCTAGACAATTATCTAAGACAGTGGATAGCCGCCAGTGCATCCCTATCAGCTAAAGCCTAAGCATCAAAAGACCATTTTATTCACATGGCCTTCAGTTAGAGACCAGCTGCTACACAGCTATCAGAACTTTTTCCACCTACAAACTTCTTAACACAGTTAACTTCATTTAAAAACTTTCCTAAGAAACTTATAAATAAAAGGAACTTCTAAAAAAGCAAAAGAAGGACTTACTATAATAGTTGTGCTGGTTTGCTTGTCAGATATGTACAATAAATCATCTCCCATTGTCAAGTGGGCCAAATTGTTTAATAACTAATATCTAAACAGGTAATTTTCCATGCCAATTGCTTGCAGTCTACTGATACATATAATTTATTGCCTAATGTACTTTTCTGATAAATTTTTCTTTTTATGACCAAGAACAAAAAATTAAGAAATGTTAGGTCTTCAGCCCCATGGTGTGAGGCACAAGGAATCTTCAGCTCCACAGTGTGAGGCCCTTTACCTTCGGCCCCATGGTGTGAGGCCCTTTACCTTCCAGTGTCTTATCTGGCTGGAGCATCAAGGCCTCCTGCAGCATACCCTGGTTCTTGTAAGCATAAGTAAATAAATCTTCAAAAAAAACAATGGGTAATATCAGTAGTTCAGGGCTATATGTGCTGTGTGGACAGAGCTGCAAGGTCAGGGTCAAGGCAGCCTTTAATTCTTTTCCACAATGACTTCCAATTAACCTGGAAATCTCACCTGTTGCATAATGGAAATACCTTTCTTCTCTAAGGAGCTATTTCTAAACATGTCTTTAAGGAGGTATTGTTTGTGGGCTTCGGACAGGACAAGGGTCCAGTGGGCACCAGGTGGCATAGAGACCTGCCTGGAAGGAGCGGACTGCATGGGAAATGTGCTTCTGCATGGGAAGCCAGGTGGACTCACTGCCCTACAGGTGGAGGCACAGCAGCAACCTCAGGGCTCGAAAATACCCAGGGATTTCCTTCTGTCTTATTGTCTTTGTTCTGTTGAAAAGTGAACTTAAGGTAATTTGTGAAGTGATGGAGTGAGTTGGACTCTCGCTTCATGACATTATTTCGAGCATCAGTTTTTTGTTGAATGTGAAGAGCTGGCACTTGTATTTTGACTTGCAGCACTTTCTCTTGGGGAGGATGTATAATAAAGAGCTTTCATAGACTTTAAGTGGACGTGAGACTTAATTACAAACGTGTTTAATAAATGTCATTGGGTTAGTGCGCAGTTACGGCAGCTGTGGTAGACACAGACTTTTAGTACCAGTGGATGTCCCTGTGAGGTGGCTCGGCACTGAGTTCCCAGCTGTCTGCCCCTGTGACAGGAGTGTCAGCTGCCCCTGTCCTCACCACCTGGTGCCACAGAGGGATGACATGGACTTTGTAGAATGCGTGGAATGTAGGATTGGTCATATGGGGAAATCTAGATGCAAACACTCTACAATCCCTATGCTGAATTTGGTGCTTAAAATGTCAAACACATAAAAGCATGTTAAGTCTGAAAACATTGACTTTCAAAACATTAAATATGACAAAAAGTTATGGATCCACTACTTTCTTCCACTTCCCTCTCTATATAAAACTTCCCTGTTTCTATCAACCCTTTAACTCTAGCAAACAAAGCAGTGTGGCATTATGTGCTAGAAGGAGAATCCCACAATCTAATCATTTGAATTACAATAGTCTTCATGTCTGGGAGGACATAAAATTCATTTATATCCCAGCTTCGAGAGAGCCAATGAATGAAATAGTGTGGTACAGTAAATAGTTACTTTTTCATCGAAATACTTTGTTTTCCTAAGAAATTTGACATTCCACTTTCTCAATACATTTTGATGATTTCCATTATTGCCTAATAGATATTTTCCTAAATGTTTACTAATTAATGTATATGAATGCCCTCAATCCAAAAACAGTCCACTGTAATTTGGTAAGTGGATGTTTGTATTTGGAGATTTACTTAATTTATGATGCTATGAGACTCCCAGAGGACATGAAATATGTAATATATGTATTTAATATATATAAAACTACCCAAAATATAATGGCAGGAAAAATGAATTTGAAGTCAATTTTCTTTCATTTTAACTTAAAACAACTTTATCTTTTACCTCATTGACATGAATTAGAATGAAATCAACCAACAGTGTGTGTTGAGAGTAGATCCTGGGTAAATGTCTTATGGTTTTACTTACGCCACTGCTCATGTCTCTTAAAAATGAATTTATTATAGATTTACAACAATCCTCATGCCCTCAGCCTTCAAATAGTCTTTCAGGAAGGGCATTGGCACTGTAGAGAGGGTGCTGGCTTTGAACAGTGAACATCTTTCTTCCATAAAACTAACCGCTGACTCCACCCCAAAATTAGTAATTTGTACCTCATTGAGAATTACAGACCATCAGTATTGCCATGAGCTATTGTCTTCTTATGCAATGTTTGTGCACATGCCAGTTCCAATTCAACTAAACAGCTTATTTGAGTCCACAGACAACATCTAAGCATTTTCAGTATTTAAATGTATTAATATCTTATAGATACATATCTGAAATAGAGGTGATTATTGAGATTGTCTATTATATGTACAAGGTCAGAGCGTTATATATTAGGCAGCTTAGGAAATCATAACAGACTTCAACATGTATCCCGAGAACAACCCTCTGACTTATTTGTAAGAACAGAATCAGTGCTGCTTCTAGAGTGTTATCAATGCATGTCTTAGTTCTTCCAGCCTCAGAAGCCCACAGTCCTCCTGAACAAAGGTTAAATACCTTGACGACATTGCCTCCATAATCCACACCAATTTACTGTTCCACTGTCAGTCCTCAGAGGGACCATCCCCAACTGCACCCAGTCCCTGAGGCAAAGTGTGCAGCAGTTACCTCCCCATCCTCCATGACCCAGAAGAAATGGTTACAGCTATCTCACAAGGACATGCAGCCTCCACCTCAGGGATACTGCTTGTCAAGTGGTTCACCTTCAAATATTTGGGTGAAGACTAATTTTTCCCCACGGAAACTATTTTTTTTTTCCATTTCATTCCTTGACCATCCATGTTTTCCACAATAATAAACATAATACAGCCAATTTCATGCTTTTCAGTAGTATCAGGAATATGTTCCATGTTTACCTAATCAAATTTTTTAACTATGTTGTATATATTGTTTTTAAGAGGCAGGAAGTCCTTCAAGGGTTACCATGAAAAAGTGGTTCCACATGCCCCTTTCTCCCCTGGTTTTCATTTCCTGTAGTCAAGCTTTGGTGTGGGGTCTACCTTCTCCACTGTACTAATTAACAGGCGTGCTATTGCTTTTTGTCTTGTGTTCATCTTAGAGATCTGCTATTGATTTTTCTCCTGTGTAAGGTGCTGGAGCTGTTTTTCAGCCCTGACCCATCTTTCACATCTTCTTCTCCTCCATTCCTTCCAAATTATAGTATCACAATTTAGGTTAGATGAAGAGACAAGAGTAGAGTATTATAACAAAGTAAAAAGTATTCACAGCTGATTCAAGAAGTAAGCCACGGTGCTTCTCTTCACTTGAGACTTAATTTTCCCTCCCACACTTGTTCATATTCGTGAAGACCTCTGTCTCCTCGAAAGTGGTGGGATTGTGTGCAGGTCTGTTGCATGAGTCTCTGTGTGCCTTTCCTTTATTTCTCTTCTCAGGGCACACCTTCATCTCTGTTCCACATTGAACTTCTTGTTTTTGTGCATGTGCCTTTACACCTTCCTTTTTCTAGTCACCCCTTTTGCTTTAGTGCAGTACATCCTTCAACAACTTCTTGACAGGTTGTGAATTGAATGTATATGTTTTCAGGCCATGCATGACTGAAAATCTATTCCTTCTACTCTCAAACCTTGAGAGATAGTTGAGTTGGGTACAAAATCATTTCCAGAACATAGTCTTCCCTCAAAACACACCTCTGTCTTGTGTACTGGAGGGAGTTTCTGGAGCTGGGTAAAAGCTCAGATCTGTGTCCTGGGTGAAAGGGTGTTTCTGAGTAAATACTAACTTTATATGTATATTAACTGTAGTGAATTGTTTCAAAAATACTATCTGAAAACAATACTAAAAATTAAAAAGCACTTTCATTTTTTAACTCTTAGAAGTGGTTTTAGAAGTCTTAGAAGTGGTCATCTCTGTCTTTAGTCGATAAAAAGTTCTGAGTAAATAGCAAATTAGATTTTTCTTTCAACTGTAGGAGAATTTGGCTGTCAGGTCAAATTCAAGCCTTGTATCTAGGAGACAAACAAATAAAAAGCATCATAGCAGCCATCCACTTGTATCAGGTTAAGCTCCTGGAACAATAAAGTTGGACTATACTGTTGGAGCTGCCCACCAATGCTAATCCCTGTGACTCAGGGCAACTGGTTCCCCCAAACCCTCCTCCCTTATCCCCTTTTCCAATGCTTTAACACAGCATGGGGGAAGTACTTTTCCAAAGTGGAACCCATTCTGGTCTTCCTCACTACCCTCACAGTTGTGCAATAAACATCTAGGGATAAAGGAGTGGGAAGGAGGAATTTAGAATAGTGTTGTAAGTAGTCTGCATTGCACATGGAGGGGTATGAAGAGATAAGAGGTGAAATCATATATCACAACACTTAAATATATATGAAGCAAATATTAAACACATTTAATCGAGCATTGCACAGGGACACAATAATAGGAGGGGAATTCAATACCCCACCATCAAAAATAGAGTGAGCTTGCAGGAAGATTAGCAGTAAGGTTAAGAGACATAAGTGATATGTTGGAGTTGGAGGATCTAAAAGACATATACAGAGCATTCCATACAATATCCATCAAATGCACATTCTATACAATATTGAATGCGCATTATTTCCAAGTGCACATGTTAAATCCTTCATAATATATAATGCTTTATTCCAGAAAGCAAATTTCAAGGAATCTAAGAAGATTAAAATAAAATTTGGCAACTTCACAGCAAAGCAATAGGAAATTAGAAGTCAATTAAAAGGGAAAACTTTGAAATTCCCAGTTTTTTTTTTTTTTTTTCATTCACTCATCTGTATTGTACACTTAGGCTGGTTCCATAACTTGGATTTTGTGGATAATGCTAGTCCATCCTGGAAATTGATGTCCTCCTTGTCATTCAATTGAAAGTATATTTTCATTTCTTGTTTGATCTCTTCATTAATCCAGTGGTCTTCCAGCAGTGTGGATTTCAATCTCCATGAAGTGGGAGGGTTCCTTGCTTTCTTTTCATGACTTGTTTCTAGTTTGATGCCTTTATGATCAGAGGAGATAGTTGGAATGATTTTTATCTTAATGTATCTGTTGATGTTTGTCTTGTGGCCCTGTATGTTATTGATTCAGGCAAAGGATTTTGTGTGCTTGAGAAAAGTGTGTACTTGGAGTTTTTCGGGTGTAGTGTCCTAAAGATGTCTGTTAAGACCATGAGTTCTATGTTTTTATGTAGGGCTCTAGTGTCTTTGTTTATTTTTCATCTCGTTGATGTGTCCATTGGTTAGAGTGGGGTGTTGAATTCTCCTACTCTATATGCCTTTTCTTTAATGTCTGTTTTCAGAGCTGATAATAATTGGCTAATATGTTTTGGTGTGCCTTCATTTGGTGAGTATATGTAGATGAGTGTTATATCTTCCTGATGCATTTTCCTCTTGATCATAATGTAATGTCTGTCTATGTCTCTTTTTACCTTTTTAATTTAAAGTCTATTTCATCTGTTATAAGTATTGCTGCTCCTGCTTTTTTTTTTTTTTTGGTCCAATTTACTTTCAGTCTATAATTTATCTTTTGTAATTAAATGTTTCCTGGAGACAGCAGAAGGTTAGATTTTGTTTTTTTAATCCAGCCTGCTACTCTCTGTTTTCATGTTGATGAGTTTAATCCATTTACATTTAGAGTTAATATTGATACGTTGGCATCTGTATTTGACATTTTGTTTGTCTTTTTGTGATTTTATTCCTTGCTTTATTCTGTTCTTCTTATTGATTCTTCTGTTGGTTTTTGGCTTTAGGACTTCTTGTAGATTTTTTTGGAGTGGGGATTTATTTGTAATGATTTTCTGGAGTTTCTGTTTGCCTACACAGTTCTTATTTTGCCGGCATTTTTTTGCCTTACACAATCTATTGTTATATAAAAGGCAATTTTTGATTCCTGTCTGATAACTTGGTTTCATTTTGAAAAAGGTCTGATTTCCCAACTCCAAGGTGGACAGGTGTTGGCTTTACGTAAGGAAGACAGGCTGCGTGTTTCCATGCCATGAGCCTGTCTCTAGTGTTCAGTGTCTTTCCATAAACTGACGTGAGTGAGGGCTCTTAGATCTGGATCAAGTCATCTTAAAGGCACATGAGTAGTCACTTAACTGCAATTAATGCCCTTTCAAGCAAATGTAGTAAATATATTATTTGGTTGATTTTACTGTTATTCATGACCCTCGCTTACAAAAGAGATTTCTTCAGAAGGTAATTGAGGGGAGTTATCTCCAAATTAATGGTTTATCACTGGCTAATATTTTTGTGACTTCTTACAAATCCCTTAATTTCATGATTTATAAATTGTTTTTAACACTGAATAAAATAAATATTATGTAAAAATCTACTGAAGTCAGACACATCCCTTTGGAACTAGAGTGTTTCATTATATGATTAGAAGCTTGATGGTAATATGTAGTAGGGGATATTGGGAGTCAACAAAATGAATTTTAGAAAGAAAAGAAGGGAAATTCCCTGTATTATTTTTTTTCAAAAATCATTCAAATATGTCACTGATTCAGAATTTGTATTTCTCTCTCTCTCATAACTGAGATATACCAATAACTGTCCTTGCATAGACAAAGTACTAATTAATAGAGCCTTTGTGATTTTATGAAAAATTTCAATGTATAATGATCTTGAAGTCTACCAAATCTGGTCTCAGGGTTGAGGGTGTTTGTGAGGAAATGCATGCGATGATCAGCCCTCGGTTGCACAGCACACCCTGCTGGCCTCATCTCATCTCCTTTGGGCACTGAGCAGTGAGGATGCTTCATAGGGTGTTTCTGATGCTCATGAATGGAAGTGAACATACCGACCTGTGTGAACGTTTTCTTTTATTAAGTCAATGACATATGTTTAATGCGATTAAATGTGGCTTCATTCATAAAATCTTCTCATGAATTACCTTCCAGAGAACAGTTTAAGAAATCAATAAAAAATAGGCCCGCATTTTACATTCATCCCTGAGTTGATGCTCAAATTCTCATGCCGCTGCGCCTTCTGCTCTATCACTTCAGGTATCACTTTAGCTGCCTTTGGAACAAGCAAGGAAGGAAAGGAAACAGGAGAAAGGTTTAACCTTTAGGGATTTTCTAGCAATGGTATTGCTGCTGAGTTACCCTCAGTAGGAGAAAGATTTTTCATTTTTGCTCAGGCATTGGAATTACTTTTCCACCATTGTTATTTGATTCACATCTGTATGCAAATTTGCACACACCAAGACCCTCTTCTCTGAGAGATTACCTTTGCAGACATGAACTAAGAGGTATGGAAGCTTCCATGTTTCCTCTTCCCCATGAGCTTACTTAATGATTGCAACTATTAAATCACAAGTATGTGTATCTATATATGTAGCTCAAAAATAACTCTTAATTACATGTTTTTAAAATGGTTTCTTAGAGGACTAGTTTTTCCTTTTTGCCTCAGGTGAGAGTTGTGGAAGGAATTGGAATTCCTCTAGGAAAAGTTTAATTGATGGTAGATGTACCTTTCTTAGATGCTGAAATTTTCTCATCTTCTATATAGTCTCTAAAGTATTGATGAACTGAGTAAACCACATATGCACATATATTAATGTATGTGATTTAGTAATGAATGCCTCAGTTTAGATATTGTTATCTTAAGTGGACTTTGTTTAAATTTCGAACCACTTAGATAACAAATATATGATGTGTGCGCATGCGTGTGTGAGTGTGTTTTCAACCAGAATTATGCCATATTCCAGATGTGGCATTTTCTTAAGTCGGATACCTCTCATTAGTAAACACTGCTGAAAGGTAAATTTACTAAAAATAAAAGTTGAAGGATAGGGAAGTGAGGAGACTTCAGATATTAGAAATCAGTGCATGATTTTATTTAAATTATATAGAGACTGCAAACATAATACTTATGAAATTGTCTCCAAAGTTACAAGTTTGAACGGGAGCATGGCATGGGTGAGCAACCAGACCTCAGGCAGTGATTTTGTCCTCTTGGATCTGTTCCACAGCACCCCGGTGCCCTGGGTCCTCTTCACACTCACGTTGCTGGATCTCCTGGTGGCCCTGTTCGGCAACACCATAATAATCATCCTCATCTGGACTGATCCTCTTCTCCACACCCCCATGTACTTTCTCTCAGCCAGCTGTCCCTCATGGATCCCCTCTGTATCTCCATGTTTCTCTCTAAGACTGTCCTGGACTTTCTGTCTGGGGACCACCACATCTCCTTCATTGGATGTAGTTTCCAGATGTTCCAATTCACCACTCTTTGGGGGTCAGAGTGCCTGCTGCTGGCAGTCATGGCTTATGACCGCTATGTGGCCATCTGCCAGCCTCTGCGCTACCCCATCCTCATGCGTCCCATGGTCTCTGTGTTCCTGATACTTGTGACCTGGCTGGGTGCATCCTTCAATGTCTTGATCCATGTGGTCTATACACTGACACTCCCTTACTGCGCCTACAGAGAAATCCATCATTTTTTCTGTGATATCCCAGCGCTCCTGAAAGTGGTCTGTGCTGACACTTCCAGATACAAAAAGGGCATTTTTGTCAGTGCTGTGACTTTTTTCATCCTTCCCATCTCAGGCATTCTGTGCTCCTATGGAAGGATACTGTCCACTGTACTGGGCATGCAATCCACTCAGGGACTCAAGAAAATCTTGGGTACTTGCTCCTCTCACCTGACTGTGGTGTTGCTGTTCTATGGCCCTGCCATCATCAAGTATATTCTGCCAAATTCCTACCACTCCCTGGGGCAGGATGTCGTGCTCTCTGTGTTCTACACCATCATCTCACCCATGCTCAAACCCCTCATCTACAGCCTGCCGAACAGGGACGTCACTAGAGCCTTTAGGAACGTTTTCAGAATATGAGAAATGTGAATGTTTGTTTATCCAGTGTAAATCTCAGCAGTTGTGGCATTTTCTTTGAGATGGAATATAAAATATTTATATACACACATCCATCGTACATATTTTTTACAGATGCCAGATAGATGAGAAATACAACAGCTATCCAACATATAATCTTTACCTAGTGGCAATATATAAAATGGTAATTTCAAATTCAGTTATGTGTACCTTTGTACTCAATATTAATATAAATGGAGATGTTGATTTTCCATATAATATATTACTGATTTTTTTTCCATCAAATCCATTCCTTTTTATTTTATTTTTTTTAATTACTAAATTTTATTTTTATATTCCTCATACAATTGCAATCCCCCCATTCTGACCCCAATATATTACTGAATTTTTAAGTACCTTTAACAATATCATATCTGCTTATTTTTTTGAGATATACTACCTTTAAATTGTGGTGGTGTTTTTGAGCACTTTTGTCCAGTAAAATTTTTTTGTTATATTCTGAAACTACAAAGTAAATGAATATCTGTGAATATTTGATGTATATATTTTAAAAGATATCCTAAGACAATACTTGTTCTGAACTGGACTTAGACTTATTGAGTCAATATTGATTGATTCATTATATGTTTCAATTTATATTCATTAAATAACATATTGTTATTTTGTGTTTGAGCAATAATTTGTATTAACATTAATTGGTATTCAGGTATATAACCTAGTTTTTTAATATTTGTATAAATAGTGAAATGGTCATCCCTAAAAATCTATTTACCAACTACCACCATGCAATGCCAGCTTGGGATTTAGCCTCTTTCCCATTTTGTCCACTCTGCAAACCCCACACCTGCTGCAATCACCTTTTCCTCTCAGTATCAATGGATTGTTTTGATGATAGACTTCTCATGTAAGTAAAATTATATCACATTTGCCTTTTTTTATTTTATCTCATTTTTTATTCCTTCTCTTTAAGATAACAGTGATTCTCAAAAGTGTGAGATGATATCCTATTAAATTTTGATTTGAAAGTTTTATTCTAATACTACTGATTTTTTATATCAATTTTGCAAACTTGTTAAATTTGTTTCAGTTTTGACAGGTTTTGGTGGATTCTTTTGGAATTCATATATATATATATATATAAAATCATATTATTCGAAAATACTCACATTTTTATTTCTTCTTTTCCAATATACGTCCCTTTTGCCTTTTTCCTACTAAAGTGATCTGGTAAGAACTTCCAATACTATTGATATGTTGAGTAAAATTCAGGGGAGTGGGTGACCTTCACTTACTCTTGATTTGAGAGGAAGAGATATACTTTTCAACATTTCAACTTTTCAACATTTTCAACATTAATTTGTCACATTTCACCTTCATTTTGTTATTGTATTTTGCCTCCATACTCGGTTTGTTGAGAGTTTTTTTTTTTTTTCACAAATTTGTGTTGAATGTCATCAATGATTTTTCTGCATCCATTTAGATGCATATAGGATTTTAATCCTTCCTTTATTAATAAGGTATGTACACTGATTGATTTGAGAGATGTTGAACAATCCTTGCATTCCTAGAATGGATGGCACAAGACAGAAATCATTGTGCATAATCCTTTTATATTATTGTGAGTTGCATGTACCAATATTTTTTGAATCTATGTTTACCAATAATATTGACCTGTAATTTTTTGTGATGTCCTCATCTGTTTTTTTTATATTCGGATACTGCTTACATTGTAACGTGACTGTGAAAGTGTTCGCTTCTTTACAACTCTGAAGCATTTGGGAAGGGTATGCATTAAATTTTTGACCATTTGGTATATTTACCAGAGAAGCAGTTTTGTCCTGAGTTCTTATTTTGAGTTGGGTTTTATGTATGGTGTGAGGTAGTAATCGTTTCATTCTTTTGCATTTAACAGTCCAGTTTTCCCAGCACCCTTCATTGAAGTGACTTTCCTTGTTGCAGTGCACATTCTTTGCTCCTTTGTCACAGATTAGTTGACCATAAATGTGTGGATTTATTTCTGGCTTTTCAATTCTATTCCACTGGTCTGTTCTATGAGCCTTTTGGATTTGTGTTTTGGTGTCTGATTTTGGAAAAAATTTGGCCATTTTTTTCAAATAATTCTCCCCCCTCTTCTTCTTTTATTTCACTGTGCTTTTACTTGTGTTATGCCTTTAACATCATCCACCACTACTTATTTGTTCTTTTGAAAACCCTTTATGTTATTTTTGAATGTGTGTTTCATAAATCTTGCATTGATTAGTCTTCAAGCTTGTTGATTCTTTCCCAAGTCATATTGTATAGTCTGATGTGCCAATTGAAGTTTATTTCTGTTACAATATTTAGAAAGATACTTTTGATCTTGTATTCTTGCAGACTCTGAAATTTTCATCTTCTTGCTTATTCTGTCTATATTATTTAGTTATGTTTTCTCTTTATGAGTCATTAACATATTTACAATAGTTTAAAAATATTTGTGTAATAATTCCAAATCTGTATAATATCTGAGTCTTGCACTAATGTTTGCTTTCTCTCCTCAGAAAATGTGTTTCCTTTTTAATGGACTGCCTTATAATCTTCTGTTGAATGGTGTACTTGATATTTTGGGTAATACAAACTGATCAATGTTATTAACATGAAGTTTTGTGGTGACCCACTTTTGAACTCTAATTTATATTTTCTGTAACTCTCAATGGCAGTGACTCCAAATTAATCCAGTGTTTGTTTACCTGTTTTTCCTTGTCTTTGTGCTACTATAAAAACATACTTCTAGTTATATTCCATATTTTGCAAAATTTTAGCTGAAATATTTTGTCTTTGTACTGGAGCCCTTTAGTGAGGTGTAGGGAAGTATTTGGTGTTGCATCCTTTACCCTTGGGGTTAGATCTCACCATTTCTTAGGCCTGTGTCCCTTAGATGTGACCTTTGTGAGTGATTTGTAACTTTCCCACTCCTCAGAGGGGAGTGAGAAAGATTAGTGTGAGCTGAATTTGAGAAGACATACTTCCCTGAGCTTCGTTAAGCATCTCTTAGATTGTCCACCAAAGAGTTAACATTTATTTTGCGAATATTCTGAGTTTATTTTACAATTGCTGTCTGCTCTGAGAAGAGCCAGGAAGGACTCTTTCATCTCTCTTCATCTTGTGATCCTGGTGTATATCCTAGCCCTAGTCCTTTTCAAATGCTGTCCCCACCAGCACCCATACACTTCCATCCTGACTGCAGTCCCAGAGGCTTGTCACTTTCTTTTTTTAATTAATTTTACTTTTATATTACCCATACAATTGCAACCCCCTTATTTTGACCCCAATCCCTCCCCTCCCCACCCCCACCCCCCATAGAGTGTCTCTGGTTCATAGTTTTTTGTTGATTTTGATTTTCACTTTCTTACAGTTATTCATTTTCCTAGTCCCTTATTTAAGTTTTCTAGATTCCTGCTATGAGTGAGACCATCCGGTATTTTTCTTTTTCTTTCTGGCTTATTTCACTTAGCATGACCCCTTCCAGCTCCATCCATGTTGCTGCAAATTGCATGTGTTTATCTTTTTTGAATGCTGAGTAATATTCCATGGTGTATATGTACCACATCTTCTTGATCCAGTCATCTATTTTTGGGCATTTGGGATGTTTCCAAAGCTTAGCTATTGTAAACAGTGCTGCTATAAACATAGGGGTGCAGGTGCTCTTTGGAATTGATTTTTCTGTGTCCTTTGGGTAAATACCTAGGAGTGGAATTGCTGGACCCTATGGAAGCTCCAACTTTAGTAGGTTGAGGAATCTCCACAAAGCTCTCCATAGTGGTTGGGCCAGTTTGCACTCCCACCAGCAGTGCAGGAGAGTTCCTTTTTCTCCAAATCCTCATGAACATTTGTTGTACAACCCACTTATTTTTACCCCAATCCCTCCTTTCCACACGCCCCCAACCCCTATAGAGTGTTTCTGGTTCATAGTTGTTTGTTGATTTTGATTTTTTCTTTCTTATACTTATTATTTTTTCCTGGTCCCTTATTTAGGTTTTCTAGATTACTGCTATGAGTGAGACCATCCGGTGTTTTTCTTTTTCTTTCTGGCTTATTTCGCTGAGCATGATCCCTTCCAGCGCAATCCATGTTGCTGCAAATTGCATGTGTTTATATTTTTTGATTGCTGAGTAATATTCCGTGGTGTATATGTACCACATCTTCTTGATACAGTCATCTATTTTTGGGCATTTGGGTTGTATCCAAAGCTTAGCCATTGTAAATAGTTCTGCCATAAAAATAGGGGTGCAGGTGCTCTTTGGAGTTGATGTTTCTGTGTCATTTGGGTAAATACCTAGGAGTGGAATTGCTGGATCATATAGAAGCTCCATCTTTAGTAGGTTGAGGAACCTCCACACAGCTCTCCATAGTGGTTGGAACAGTTTGCACTCCCACCAGCAGTGCAGGAGAGTTCCTTTTTCTCCACAACCTCAACAACATTTGTTGTTGCTAGTTTTTTTTTTTTTTTAATATGTACCATTCTCACTGGTGTGAGATGGTATCTCATTGTAGTTTTGATTTGCATTTCCCTGATTACAAGTGATGTTGAACATTTTTTCATATGCCTGTTGGCCATTTGCCTTTCCTCTTCAGGGAAGTTTCTTTTTAGCTCTTCTGCCCATTTTTTGACTGGATTATTTTCTTTGCTGTTGTTGAGTCTCATGAGCTCTTTGCAGATTTTTGTGATCAGTTCTTTATCATTAGTGTTGTGTGCAAAAATGTTCTCCCAGTCGGTGGGGTTTCTCTTTGTTTTTGTTATTGTCTCTTTTGCTGTGCAGAAGCTCTTTAATTTGATGTAGTCCCAGCTGTTTATCTTTGCCTTCACTATCACTGCTTTGGGTGATATGTCTGTAAATATGTCTTTGATGTGCATATCACATAGTGTTTCACCTACATTTCCTTCTCTGTATTTTATGGTTTCAGGTCTTATGTGTAATTCTTTGATCCTATACAAAGAAAACTATAAAACACTGTTAAAAGAAATA